ATCAATAAGCTTATGCTTCTTCCTGCTCCTTTTTGAACATGAAAGTTATTTGTAGTTGTGGTTGCTCGTTTTCTTTTTGTTTTGCTTTGTTTATTTGTCTCTTTTAATTCTATGTTGTTGTACTTTTTTTAACATGTTCAAAATAAAGATTCAATCAAATCAATTTGTCAGGTTCTCTGGAAGTGAGCGAGCATCATCAAAGCTTTTTTTTAAATGTCTAAATGTTAATTAATTAAAATTAGGGCAATCGCTGTCCTGGATTTTAGACCCTGACTGTTCTGTCTTCAGACAGGAATTACTTTTGTTGTTCAACAACTATTCTGACTGTAGTTTGTTTTGTGATAGTAACAGTTCTCAGGTTTTAAATTTTCATGTTTTATTTTTATTTTTGATCTTATGCTTCTATGTGTTTAGTCTTATGGTCATTTGTATATTCCTATTTCTGTCAGTGGTTAGAGTTATATTTCCCAAATTCCTTTCTGTTATCAAGTTTTCTTCTTTGTCATGTGATTTTTCTCATTAGTTACTTCCAGTTTGATCATGGCAGTTCTTTCTTTCTCGTGTAGTGTGTTTAACTTTGCTCCTCTTGTCTCGTTACCCTGATTTAGTTTAGATGTGTTTAGTTCCAGCTGCATCTCAGCCCCCACTGACCCACGGTGTGTTTGTGTGTATTTAAAGCCTCTGATTGCTTTTTACTGTTGATTGTTTTCCACGTTTGTCTTCTCTGGTGTCTCCTGGTTTAAATTTATGACTTTATCAGTCTTGGACTTCTCTGCAAAGCCTGAATAGAGTTTTGGTTTTTTTGTTCATGAACTCTGTCCACAAGGTCATTGTTCACACATCACATGACACAAGAGAAAAGATTAATAATGCTTAATAACAGATTAATAACAGAATATTAGTAGTCTTTCTTTTCGTATCCTCTCAGAAAAAAGGTGCAAGTTTCCGTCGCCACAGATGAAGTGAACTTTATAACACTGCTGAATGCTAGACAGTACAGTGTATACAGTATCACAAACTCATTATTCAATCAATCACTCTGCGCTCACATTAACTCAAAAGGTTACTCTAAATTTTTAAAATCAGTATAAAAAAGGAGTCTTTTCACTTCCTGTTTCTCAGATGTTTTACAATAAAAGCCTTGAAGCTCAGTACGTCTCCAGTCCCCATCAGCAGTCTCTGCTTTTTTGTCGGGTCCCACCGCTAAATCCCTCACCCTGCTACACTTTCTTCTTTGATGTGTGCAAAGCAAAACTTCAGTTTCAGTCTGACTTTAAATTCAAAATGAAGATTTCTGTGCACAAATGCAAGAAGACACAACTGTGATTTAAACAGACGGTAAATATTTGTATGCTAATTATGTCGTAAACAAACTGCAGATCTGTGAGTTCAAATACGTTCTGCATGTGCCTTTAAGTAAAACAAACTCTCTAAGGCTATAGGAGTTTATCTACCTGTAGATGTTTAACAATAAGATACAAATACACAAATGGGCAATGAGGTACCACTTGTGTCGTGTGGTTTAACACCTCTCTGCAGACACTGATCACACAGGAAGAAGCAGGAAACACACTGAAGTAGTGTGTCCTTTAAAAAAGGGGGGTTTCATATCATATAGCAGCTCCGGTCTTCTTATGGCCTTGGGTTTAGTACCTATAACGTGTCTGTGTTTGCATGCCCATTACACAGGATGTGACAGCCTCACTATGGTGCTCTGAAACATTTCCAGTGACTTGCACCACACAACTCTGGTCTTTCCAAGTTGCAGCACTATGATTGTCCATGAAAACAGGTCTCCATCCACTGAGGGGCAGCAAAATGGAGACACCCTTTATATTTCATATCTGAGTTTGTGCAGATATACAACCAAAGACTAAATTTGTGTCGCAGCCTCAGGAGGAAAGGCCTTTTCTCTTTTAAAAAGCTTCAAGTCAAGTTGTTCAAGCTATCAAACGATCTGCTGTACACAGTGTGGAGCAACGTCCTGTAAGCCTGGCTTTTAAATAACATAACTTTACAGTTCTTTACTGTAAAATATTGTTTTTCCATCTTTTCTATATGGTAAACTGTATTATGTACATCAGTACACTATTGCCATACTGTTTATTCAAATTCATCTTCAAAGTGGTCACCTGACAACATGTAGTGCAGCTATTATTGTAAATGAGTCACAGTTAATAACAGGTTTAGTGATTAACATGTCATGGACACTGACTGAACTATTTTGGGGTAACAAATTGTGTTTCTGATGTATTTCTATTTCTTTTTATCGATTCAATTATTCTCCAACATTGTGAGTCACTGTCCACAAGCACGCTGATGACGGCAGAAGCCGCGGAAGCCAGCAGCACGTTATCTGATATCAGAAAAGTTCATGCCCCTCAGTTTTTAAAGTAATCAGGATTTTTTTTACTTACTTGTCTATTTGAAACGGTGCCAACTGAACATCCTCATGTCCTCTCTGCTGAGTGATTCTGACCCACAGTTTCAGTCTTTTTCAAACTACCAGCCTTCCCTCTTCCCCTTTTTTGTTTGCCTTGACAGCAAGACTCTCTCTCTTGTGTGGTAGAGTTTCCAAATGTGGTCTAGTGTAACACTATTAATGGACACGTACGAAGCTTCCAGAATGACAAAGAAACACGTTCTCAGAACCAGTAGTTGGAGCAAACGGTTGATTAATGCGGATGTTTTGCAAAATAATAACTTAATTTGCTTCTTTAAAAGCTCAAAATTACATTCAGTAAAACTACAAAAACTACAAAAAACTATAAAAAAGTTATAAAAATGATACCTTACACCAGCGGTCTCCAACCTTTTTTGCGCCACGGACCGGTTTATGCCCGACAATATTTTCATGGACCGGCCTTTAAGGTGTCGCGGATAAATACAACAAAATAAAACTAGTACCGGTACCGAAAAAAAGAAGATTTATTCATAACACACGTGAAAAGACCCAGGAAAACCGAGTAAACAATAAAAACGATAACAAAATAACGCTGAAAACCGATAAAACCCTGAAAACTATACATTTCACACCTGAACCTCAACTCTCGCGGCCCGGTACCAAACGACTCAAGGACCGGTACCGGTCTGAGGCCCGGGGGTTGGGG